CATTGGTCTATACAAACGTGTGCATGGTCGTGTGGATATGTATGCTGTACGGATATGTGTGGTCTAAACAAAGGAAAGGAGAAATAAAATTACATAAATCAAGTGATTTAGAACAAACAGGATAACACTATCAAATGTAAATTATCAGATTACATCATCAGATATAAAGCTGTACGCCAGGGTTTCTCAACCTTTTGCCTACTGCGACCCACTTTTTTTTGTATGCCAGTCATATGACCCACTAAAAAATAAACATCAACCTGTTATTTCTTCAGTGTGTTTGATTCTGCAGGGCTCTGGATCTCTCATCTTCTCTCTGTCCTCTTTAATAAACTCAGTCTTTGCAGATTTCAGCTCTTCCTGATGATTAGATGCTCATCTTCTCTTGTAAACTGATGGAGATATTCCAGCATTTATTGCTGAATTACTGTGGGAGGAGCTTCACTAAAAGCTCCTCCCACAGGAAGGAGGAAGTCGTGGGGAAGTCGTGGCCTAATGGTTAGAGAGTCGGACTCGTAACCCAAAGGTTGTGGGTTCGAGTCTCGTACCGGCAGGGATTGTAGGTGGGGGGGGGGAATGTACAGCACTCTCTCCCACCTGCAATACCACGACTGAGGTGCCCTTGAGCAAGGCACCGAACCCCCAACTGCTCCCTGGGCGCCGCAGCATAAATGGCTGCCCACTGCTCCGGGTGTGTGTTCACGGTTTGTGTGTGTTCACTGCTGTGTGTGTGTGCGCACTTTGGATGGGTAAATGCAGAGCACTAATTCCGAGTATGGGTGACCATACTTGGCCACACGTCACTTCACTCCCTTCACTTCAATACCACGACTGAGGTGCCCTTGAGCAAGGCACCGAACCACCAACTGCTCCCTGGGTGCCGCAGCAAAAAATGGCTGCCCACTGCCCACTTACGTGTGTGTTCAAGGTGTGTGTGTGTTCACTACTGTGTGTGTGCACTTTGGATGGGATAAATGCAGAGCACTAATTCCGAGTATGGGTCACCATACTTGGCCACATGTCATGTCACTTCACTTCACTTAATATAGTTGAGAGATACCTCGTGATCGCTAGGCAGGAAAAGGCTAATGTGTGTTCACTGCTGTGTGTGCACTTTGGATGGGTAAATGCAGATACTTGGCCACATGGCACTTCACTCACTTCACTTAAAGGTGAATTGCAGCATGTGAGGAGCTGATCTGCCAAAATAATAGTAATAATTTCAAAACACAATAACTTCAATAACTTCTGTAAATTGCCACTTAAAGCTAATTTCATCAGCAGCTCTATTAATATTGATGAGCCTCAGACTATCAACACTTTAGAAAAAAAACACCTTCTGTAGATAGTGTTTTTTTATGATAAATATTATTCATTTGACCATGAAACCAACTACAGATTTTGAATAGTATTAGATTCAGTCTTTTAAAAAAAGATTAAAAATTATGTTTTTTGTAAGAGTTTTGGAA